GTATGAAGACTGAACCTAAAATAACTGCTGCATATTTTAATGCTGAAAAAAGGTTTTCAGATCTGTCAAATTGCTGCGGTTTCTTGGGAATCTTTTTAATTATTAACGACTCAAAAAACGAATACAATAAAAGTTTCCTCTTTAATCAGCAGGAACAAACTGACTTCTTATGATTTTTGATAATTTATATCAGTAGACATCAGGTTTTATTTAGTCACCGCAAATCAATAGATCATTGGAAATGTTTAGAAACTAAGAAAAACCACGAAAAATCATTAAAAAGCAAGAGCAGTCCCGTAAAACATTGAAAATTATCAAAAAACAAGTAAAATCAATAAAAAGCATTAACAGTCAATAAAAAAATCAGGACCTTAATTTTTAACCGTATTACTAGTGATTTTTAGTCAATTACAATGTTTTCTAACGGACTCTGGCGATTTCTGATTATTTCTCACCATTTCCCGCCGTTATTCATATCCTTGACGCGTTATTATGATTTCTGATGATTTCTAGTGGTTGCTAATGATTTTTAGTAACAGAAATCAGTTTATTCCTCTTTGTCTGGAATATTTTGATATCGCGGTAACTACATGCCATGGGCTACAATCTGGGGAAATCCAAAAACATTTTAGCTTCTTTTATGATTGAAATACAGAAATAGCAAAAAAATTTCCTGGGGTGGTTGAACAATTTTGACAGCCACTATATATAGTCATGGTCAGTTAAAATGAGAAGGAAAAGGTCAATTTCCTTTATCAGATAAATTGTTTTTATAAGTTTATACCAGTGCATATTGGACCACGAATTTACTGACGAAACATATTCATCTCACGACATTTCAGTTGTTTAGATAATAGTTTTTTCTTTACTTAGATAAAATGACACAACGAGGTCGAAGTTTCGATTCGTCATATTCCATCGATAGATTGATTCAGATTGGAACAGAGGTACGCTGTTTATTTTCTAGTGCTTCACTTTAACTCTTGTATTCATCATTTTTAGGGCACGATTATGGCCGACCTTACACTAAATCGCCCATTTTTAGATAAGCTCACATTTGATATCAGCAATGCATCAATGTCTTGTAAGCAGGTCAGTACAGTATAAAGGAGAAAAAGCGCACGTCAGAAACTACGACGTTTTGTGAAGTTTCATGAAGTCTGTTGAATTCCTATGCTCTTATCCTTAGGCTATCAAGGAGGAATGCAATATAAAAAATATCATTCTTTTTCGAAATCTCTACTTATTATTTCTCAATTTTTTCAAAAAGGTTCTTCACCAACTATACAGAGAAATAAACGCTGTATACAGATCGCGAAGAAGTTCAAATATTTTTAAAAAGATACTGATTTTATAGAGCACATGATCCCCTTTAGTACGCATTCGCGCTTTGTTATCATACATTCTTACAAACAACCCCTTTTTTTTCAAACCATACTTTTAGGTCAAACGCTCCGGAGATACATTTGTGTTTCGTTATGACATGGATTTCAATGCTGTGAAAAATTGGGACAAAACTAAAAGAGAGTTCCGTCGAACTTTGATTACCACTTTGAACGTGCCAAAATCGGAAATACAGATTCTTGGCATAGTTCCGGGCAGTGTTACAATTATCATCATGGCAACAACTGCGATCATTGCTGCGTTTGAGTCCGCTGGTATACACTCGGCAGCAAAAACAATTATGGATAAGACGGTCGCTGGAGCAAAGATGGGTGCCGAAATCGGCTCTTCAGTAGGTCCAATAGGCACTGCAGTGGGTGGAGCTATTGGAGGTGCTGTTGGTTTGGCAGCCGGTCCAGCAGGCAAAACAGTGAGTGGAGCTATTGGAGGTGCTGCTGGTGTGGTAGTCCGTTTTTTTTCGTCCAAGTCTAATTAATGTTTAGAATTGTCTGTATCGCCTTTCGTTTAATCTAGAGCAAAGAATAAACTAGAAAGAATAAACTAGATGTTACAGATAAAGAGAGTTCGCTCTTTCTATCGTGTAAACTTCTTTTCAAACTCTGCCGCTCTATGACCCGGTCAATCATGAAAACCGCAAAATAACGTGAAGACGCATTTTTCTCCAGGGTGTGGTGTGTAATATTGAGACCGACTATAATCTAGATTTGATCCTCTCTAAAGGAAGTGGGTGTGAGGGGTGACTAGAGCCGCCACTATCTCGATGGATTGAACGGTACTACTTTTTTCATCTTCTCTTTTTGTTCTACTTTTGCTTTTGCTTTGTGTTCTGGCGGTATATTACTGTGTGATGATGGAGATGCGGTTAGGATTTTCTTTCCACCATAGTTGAAAATTCAAGTAATGCTTCTGCTAGTATAAATTTCATCAATGAACATAAAAAGTCTAGTACGTCAAAAGGATGCTGTCAACGCTTATTTATCGCTGGACAGACCAGTAGTGCTTTGTCTCACTGAAACATGGTTGGATAACACTGTCACTGGTAATGATAGAAGTTTTTTTGAATATCATGTTCCTTGGCGTCTTGATCGTAACCGTCATGGAGGAGGTTACAACATGTAAAAATCTGAAATATTTATCGTCCTAGAACAACTACTATGCAACGTCTCCTTGCCCGTTTAAGTACTATTTTAGATGAGTTTAGAAGAAATCTAAGTACAAAGACGATATACTGCTCTGTGTAGGAGACTTCAATGTACATTTTCAACCTTGGGCGAAAAGTGATGTTCCTTCAACAAAAGAAGGAATCTTGCTAGACGAATTTCTTGAATCTATGAACTTCTCTCAACTTGTTTCTGGTGTCACTCGTGTTGCATCTGAGACTTGTCTAGATTTAGTTATAACTATGAATTCATTGTTCT